TAGGGGAGACCGGGGCACGTTCGGCCCCTTTTCCTTTGATCGGTTGTAGTTCAGCTGTTTGACGACGAATCTCAATGATGTGTTTTGAGTAGATAGACTGCTAAATTTCCTTTTTTTATACATTGGTCAAATGTAAAGAAGACCTTGCGTTTTTAAGAAATTTAACATGAAATAAATTTCCAACACGTGGCCGAACGTGCCCCGGCCTGGGGCACGTTCGGCCTCTCGATGGAGCACGTTCGGCCTGCAAATTCAAATACTTTCCTACCGATTTCTTTTATTTCCATTTCACATGAATACCTTAAAAATAGGTGTTTTGGTGCTAAACAGTGACGATATACTTGAAATAAGTAATATAGTTAGGTTTTAGAAAGATATGTAGGCCTAATTGAAATTGTTTGTTTGGTACATGTTTGTCCTGGAACTACATATATTGAACTTCTATTTTTTAATGCATAGGTCTTTATACTTCTCATGTATATCAATTACAGAACATGAAGGAACCAACCTACGTCAGTTTTGAAACCCCACATTTAATCCAACGGGAAAACTTTCTAATATTTGAAACCCAACAAAGAATTCAAACGCAAAACATCAACTTTAATCACAAAGAACATAATAACATACACAATTTGTTTGAAATAATGTCACGTTAAGGAAATATTTTTTAAAAAAACTAGATAACAACTCCAGTGATCTTTAAACAATGTTAATATTTCCGGCCAGATGCCATAGTGTTTCTCTGGAAAATATAAGTTAATGATATGTACATGTATTAAATATTTGAATTAAAGGCTTCATGCGTGGTTGAAAAAACGCGACAATTAAAATGTGAAGATACAAGCTTAAGTTTTAACCCCATTAATGGCGCTGAAATGTTAGCATATAACAAACTTTTTGGGCTTAAAAATAATAATTTTTTGATCAAGTCTTTCGCCAAAGCCACGGGGCACGTTCGGCCCCAGGCCGAACGTACACAACCCAGGGGCTGAATGTGCCCCACCTTGAGGTGCCGAACTTGCCCCAAGCCTGCATTCCGAATGTATGTTACCATAGCAACATAATTAAGAAGACGACAGTGTGGTGCCATACCTCATTTAAATTGGCTTTCTATATGCTCTTATATTATAATGCATTGGTGACAGTAAGTCAACTAATTAATGCTAAAGTAGACCCAAATTAAAAAAACCCGTAAAAAATTTTACCCGTGAAAAATATGTTTTTCAATCATATCTTCCGAACGGAGTGCACCACAGAAGCCTTATTTTTGTAGGACCCGCTAAATAGATCAAGTGACACGTAAAGGGGTGGCTGCTGGACCAAAAGTGTTAATTGTGGAAAATACGAGTGAAAGCCGAACGTGCCCCGGGGCCGAACGTGCCCCTATACTAGCACACAAATTCAATACATAAACCATTCAAAGAAAATGCTATTTACAAACCACTAAAGTATTAAGTTTTGGCCTCAGTTTATAGTTTTTCAAGATGAATTAAAAGTCAGGTCCTCGTCAACTGTCAGGTTCACCCTTTTGATATCTTTTTTTACACAGAGTTTCGATACTCGTCTGAGTAATTGGATTCTTTGTCGCTGAGTTTTCTGGCTGCTGTTTGAATGGATCTTTCTCATTGGTTAGATCAGCTAACGCGAGTTCGCTAGCATCTCGAATAACGAGATAATCACTGTCCTGTTGAGGCTAATAATGTTCCAAACATTGGTGACAATGTGTAATCTTGGCAAAATCGCTGCTTCTAAAATCTTAAAGAAACAACACACATAGCAATGAAGATATACAGTTTATTTACCTGGAATCACCCCCTTTCCGTGAATCCCGACCATCATCCAGTTGAAGTTGTCCCAGGTCCACACGGGAGAACCGCTCTGCCCGGCTGCTGTGTCGGCTTCGTAATACAGGCGTGAACGGGAGGCGTACTTCAGTGGGCTGCCTGCGATCCACATAGTGCCTTGACAGAGAAACAAAAATTACAAATGCCCCCTACCTTGCAGTCTTTTACGATAGAAATATTAAATTAGAAGATATTAAAATAGAAGTATAGGCCTATATATTCTACGTGGGCCTAAATTGTAAATTTATAATTGAAAGGGATAATTGATTTTGTCTAAAACTGGCCTCTGTCTCTCTGATGTGTGTGATTATAAAAACCCAGTTACTATTCCATTACCATTTGGTTTGTCTCCCGGGTATCCGCATATTTCTGCCAATCTCCCTTTCAACGCAGACGATGCCAAAAGATTATACCCAAAACCAAACGGCTTAGTCGAGATGCTGAATTCTTTTTTAGGAATCAAGATGAGGCCATAATCGTAGGTTGCAGCTTTTCGTTTCTTGTACAGGTCTGGTACCCGAAGATGAGTTGAATACACGCGGAAATGCCCGAAAGGTGCCGAAGATCCGTCACGTGCTGGATAGACGTCCACGTGATCAATGTAGCCCCGACGTGAGTGGTGGTAAATGTTGTGGGCGCAAGTGAGGATTACACCGGGGGTGTTCCCTACATTGGAAAATGCACCAGTTCCCATGTAGACCTCCCCATTTTGAGCGGTCATCTCCAGGTAGCATACCCAACTAAATAGAGAAAAATATGAAACCATGTCTTATCATTCGCAGCAAAGCATGGCACAATTAAACGTGTCGTATATGTAGGTTTAGATCATGCTATACCATACCATTTACAAAGTAAAGCAACCAGAATTGAGATCTATATAACCGGAAGCTTGAAATTGATTCTCCGTTTTGTTTCAAAAAGTCAGCCCACCAGGACCCACTTTCGTTCACGTAAAGTGAAGTGTTCTTACAGTATTTTTTTTTACATCAATAGGGGGCCTATCCAAAACGTCATCAAATGAAAAGATCTGTATTTAAACATTTTATAGCAAATGTAAACAACAAATACATAGAGACTGCCTCAGCTTGTACACTAAGAAATCCTAAAATTGTGGGAATTTCATCAAGGATAGCAACCCATGGTATCATCACGTGTGTGCTGTATGACGTCACTCACCAGTAAGGTGGAGACTTGCAGGGGGAAACTTGGAGTCGGTCGTCTGCCAATACAATGGTCTCTGGGATAATACGAGCATCTACGCCCCAGCGTTGAATGAGTGGTGACCCGTACTGAGCTTGCCTCAACAGATCGGCCGGAACTTCGTCATCAGTGACGTCATCTTCAACAATCGGCGTGAATTTACATGTCGTATACTGAGACTGCTTGGATTGCCACGAATCTGGGACGTCAGTTGGAGTAGATGAGAACGGCACATTCCTGTGTAACATTTGGAAGCCAACGGGATCGTGCAAGAACACGTCACTCCCGTTGGCGTGGTCTTGGTGGTGCCCACGAGCGTGATGATGCCACAGAGGCCATTGACCCGACGATGGACGGGAGTGTCGCAAATGTCGGAAATGGGTTTCGTGTTGTCGTAATTGGGACTTCTCCGTCGTCATGTTCGACCTATGGAAAAACAAATTGCAATTAAGTCGTTACTGTTATCAACCCTTCATTTATTATTTAGTTGGTTTTTAATTACTAAAATATCCCCAAGAAGTTTCATGACAGTCGAATAACCTCACAGCACGGACAGTAGGCCTACCGGTATGGAACTTTGCTATGTAGGCCTACTTGTATATCATATTCAGTTTAAATCCCGTGTCATAGGGCCTACATGTAGGGCCTACATTAAAAAAACAGGCTAGGTGGCAACCACTGTAAATTAAGAAATGCGTAATGAAGTGATCAATCCACGCTATACATATTTCAACCCCACTGCAAGTAAATACCAGTGAAATGAAGCCAATCGTGTAACATTGACAAACATACAAAACGCACGAATTCTTGAAAGTTGGGAAATTTTCTTTTTTGGAATTCAAAGGAGGTTTGGTATCCCATAATAATATTCGTGCTCACAAATCTGAGGGTCGAGTTCCCTTTTTGAGCAGACGACAACATAGTCTTTCAATGATGCTTACATAGGCCTACCTGTACACGGAGTAGGCCCTACTACTTTCACTCTTGTTTGAACAAAACATTTTATTCGACAAAGTTGCCAATGACTTTGAAAAGGCCTTAATGATACCCACACTAAAAAGGTAAGTGCCGTAACAAGCGTAATGGGATCTGTGGTGATATGGACGTTTTAAAGACAGTTTTCTCTCTCAATAGAACCCGTTACCAGCCAATATTTCGTCTGCTTGCAGTCAGACTTCATCAGGGAATGAGACTGTGATAGAAACCAGAGGGGATGATAGGTTGTCACATCTATCACAACCCCATTCCCTGATGAAGTCTTACTGCAAGCAGACGAAATATTAGCTGGTAAGACCAGACAAATATAAAGAGCTATAGACAAAAGAATCTTCACAAGTGATGATTGGATTTTCAATGCCCTCTACCAGGGCGAGTGATAGATTTTTTACAGATATTCACAGATATGTCTCTAGCTAGCTGGTCATTTAGGGCTCAACTCAGAGTGAATCTAGCTAGAGACATATCTGTGAATATCTGTAAACATCTATCACTCGCCCTGGTAGAGGGTAGATTTTCAAAGTGAGTAAAACGTATCCCAGCTGGACAGTTGTGACTGCATTTGTGACAGTGACCTATATGTTTCATTTTGGTGCTAGACGATGAATTATTTTTTATTTTTCCAGGAGAGTAAAACTTTGATACAAACTTCTTCACGTGGGACCTTGAAATAACCAAGCATAGTTTGCAATCTGTGCACTACATATTTTTAAGAGCATGCCCAGGACCTCAGCTGCACCTCTATTTTGGGCTTGGGTGTGTTGCGTACGTGACAGGTTAATCGTCTGCGTCACAATAAATCGTTATATATGCACACGCTTAGGCATTTACCTGTCCTGTCCTAGAATACGGCTCTTGTGACCTTCGGCACTATTTACCACGCAACTAGGCATGTCGAACGTGTCATCTACTAGCCCATCGAATTCGTCTGATCTTTGTCACGGCGACGATTTGAGCGAAAAGGTAAGGTAAGGAAATGAAAGCATTAGGTCTCCTTTTTGCATATACTGGTATATATATATATATATATATATATATATATATATATATATATATATATATATATATATATATATATATAGTCACGTATATATATATATACTTGAAGTTGATGCCAAATTATTTATATGGTGTCGTATTCCAAATCCAGAGGTGTAAACAAAAGTGGGCCACGTGTTGAATGTTTGTGATGGGACATTATAAGCATGGCCACAGTTACGTGGCAAGTGGCGTAAAATGTCCATTTAACAGGAAAACCAATGAACTGTATGTATGTATGCGCTGCAGGGCTGGATAAATGTTTAAGCACACTAAGCACGCACATGCTGTGTATAAGGTTCTTCGCGGTACAACATACAAGATACAGAAGGCTATTACATAACAGACGGATTGCAAAGACTGCATGGGGATATTAAATCTTGGGTCACAGGTTGACTNCTTGATTTATGTTGGAAATGACCTGCTGAGTTTTAGTAGCTAGATTTCATTTGCCAAGATATTTGGACACTTACACCTTTCCAAAGACCTGCTTATTCTGTTGTCTAAAACTAAAGTGTGTAAAATAGGCAAAATAATGTAAAGCACTTGCTTCATACTACAAATCCTTGTGTTATATTTGCAGTGGTGGAAAGTAACAAATTTACAGACAATATGCAATATGACAAACATCTTGAAATCATTGAAATAGAATAAGTTCAACATTGACATCACACTATCACGCATTACTCTACTCAATGCTAGTTCAGTTTGGTAACTGCATAATAGGTCAAACTACCAAGCATTTGCCGAAGGGCCATGCTCCACTATCAATACCCTGCCTTTGCTCACTAAAAATTTATAACACAGTAAGGAACGATTCCAACAAATGTATCTTTAATTGATATATAAATTAAAATCCCACGCTAAAGGTCAGCATTCTATATTTAAAGACCATTTCCATTCGTTTCTCTATTAATCTTGACACCTGCAAGCTGTGGGGAGTAAATGTTACTTTTAATGCCCCACGTGCTGTGTTAAACCACGTGATCCTCCTCCTCCTTATCCTTGATCTCTTTTATCCAATCATGGATCTCCTGGATTACTTCTGGTGTCAGTCTGCGTGCGCTGTTCAGAGTGCCACCTGGAATTAGGATAACGACATGATATGTCAACAGAAGTTTAATTTCAAGGGTACGATTTAACAATATATTTAACTTTAAAACGTTAAGTTGATACAAAAGAAATACAGAATGGTTGTCTGATGCACAATAGCAGACGAAAAAAGACAACTGAAACTTGTTCGAATATGTTCCGTTGTACCAGTAGATATACTAGCACACAAATTCAATACATAAACCATTCAAAGAAAATGCTATTTACAAACCACTAAAGTATTAAGTTTTGGCCTCAGTTTATAGTTTTTCAAGATGAATTAAAAGTCAGGTCCTCGTCAACTGTCAGGTTCACCCTTTTGGTATCTTTTTTTACACAGAGTTTCGATACTCGTCTGAGTAATTGGATTCTTTGTCGCTGAGTTTTCTGGCTGCTGTTTGAATGGATCTTTCTCATTGGTTAGATCAGCCTAACGCGAGTTCGCTAGCATCCCGAATAACGAGAGCATCACTGTCCTGTTGAAGCTAATAATGTTCCAAACATTGGTGACAATGTGTTATCTTGGCAAAATCGCTGCTCCTAAAATCTTAAAGAAACAATACAAATACACACATAGCAATGAAGATATACAGTTTATTTACCTGGAATCACCCCCTTTCCGTGAATCCCGACCATCATCCAGTTAAAGTTGTCCCAGGTCCACACGGGAGAGCCGCTCTGCCCGGCTGCTGTGTCGGCTTCGTAATACAGGCGTGAACGGGAGGCGTACTTCAGTGGGCTGCCTGCGATCCACATAGTGCCTTGACAGAGAAACAAAAATTACAAATGCCCCCTACCGTGCAGTCTTTTAAGATAGAAATATTAAAATAGAAGATATTAAAATAGAAGTATAGGCCTATATATTCTACGTGGGCCTAAATTGTAAATTTATGATTGAAAGGGATAAAACTGGTCGGGATTGACACTGCCGACTGATATTCGTGACATTTTCATTTTCAGAATTGATTTTGTCTAAAACTGGCCTCTGTCTCTCTGATGTGTGTGATTATAAAAACCCAGTTATTATTCCATTACCATTCGGTTTGTCTCCCGGGTATCCGCATATTTCTGCCAATCTCCCTTTCAACGCAGACGATGCCAAAAGATTATACCCAAAACCAAACGGCTTAGTAGAGATGCTGAATTCTTTTTTAGGAATCAAGATGAGGCCATAATCGTAGGTTGCAGCTTTTCGTTTCTTGTACAGGTCTGGTACCCGAAGATGAGTTGAATACACGCGGAAATGCCCGAAAGGTGCCGAAGATCCGTCACGTGCTGGATAGACGTCCACGTGATCGATGTAGCCCCGACGTGAGTGGTGGTAAATATTGTGGGCGCAAGTGAGGATTACACCGGGGGTGTTCCCTACATTGGAAAATGCACCAGTTCCCATGTAGACCTCCCCATTTTGAGCGGTCATCTCCAGGTAGCATACCCAACTAAATAGAGAAAAATATGAAACCATGTCTTATCATTCGCATCAAAGCATGGCACAATTAAACGTGTCGTATATGTAGGTTTAGATCATGCTATACCATACCATTTACAAAGTAAAGCAACCAGGATTGAGATCTATATAACCGGAAGCTTGAAACTGATTCTCCGTTTTGTTTCAAAAAGTCAGCCCACCAGGACCCACTTTCGTTCACGTAAAGTGAAGTGTTCTTACAGTATTTTTTTTACATCAACATCCAAAACGTCATCAAATGAAAAGATCTGTATTAAACATTTTATAGCAAATGTAAACAACAAATACATAGAGACTGCCTCAGCTTGTACACTAAGAAATCCTAAAATTGTGGGAATTTCATCAAGGATAGCAACCCATGGTATCATCACGTGTGTGCTGTATGACGTCACTCACCAGTAAGGTGGAGACTTGCAGGGGGAAACTTGGAGTCGGTCGTCTGCCAATACAATGGTCTCTGGGATAATACGAGCATCTACGCCCCAGCGTTGAATGAGTGGTGACCCGTACTGAGCTTGCCTCAACAGATCGGCCGGAACTTCGTCATCAGTGACGTCATCTTCAACAATCGGCGTGAATTTACATGTCGTACACTGAGACTGCTTGGATTGCCACGAATCTGGGACGTCAGTTGGAGTAGATGAGAACGGCACATTCCTGTGTAACATTTGGAAGCCAACGGGATCGTGCAAGAACACGTCACTCCCGTTGGCGTGGTCTTGGTGGTGCCCACGAGCGTGATGATGCCACAGAGGCCATTGACCCGACGATGGACGGGAATGGTGTCGCAAATGTCGGAAATGGGTTTCGTGTTGTCGTAATTGGGACTTCTCCGTCGTCATGTTCGACCTATGGAAAAACAAATTGCAATTAAGTCGTTACTGTTATCAACCCTTCATTTATTATTTAGTTGGTTTTTAATTACTAAAATATCCCCAAGAAGTTTCATGACAGTCGAATAACCTCACAGCACGGACAGTAGGCCTACCGGTATGGAACTTTGCTATGTACTTGTATATCAAATTCAGTTTAAATCCCGTGTCATAGGGCCTACATTAAAAAAAAACAGACTAGGTGGCAACCACTGTAAATTAAGAAATGCGTAATGAAGTGATCAATCCACGCTATACATATTTCAACCCCACTGCAAGTAAATACCAGTGAAATGAAGCCAATCGTAACATTGACAAACATACAAAACGCACGAATTCTTGAAAGTTGGGAAATTTTCTTTTTTGGAATTCAAAGGAGGGTTGGTATCCCATAATAATATTCGTGCTCACAAATCTGAGGGTCGAGTTCCCTTTTTGAGCAGACGACAACATAGTCTTTCAATGATGCTTACATAGGCCTACCTGTACACGGAGTAGGCCCTACTACTTTCACTCTTGGTTGAACAAAACATTTTATTCGACAAAGTTGCCAATGACTTTGAAAAGGCCTTAATGATACCCACACTAAAAAGGTAAGTGCCGTAACAAGCGTAATGGGATCTGTGGTGATATGGACGTTTTAAAGACAGTTTTCTCTCTCAATAGAACCCGTTACCAGCCAATATTTCGTCTGCTTGCAGTCAGACTTCATCAGGGAATGAGACTGTGATAGAAACCAGAGGGGATGATAGGTTGTCACATCTATCACAACCCCATTCCCTGATGAAGTCTTACTGCAAGCAGACGAAATATCAGCTGGTAAGACCAGACAAATATAAAGAGCTATAGACAAAAGAATCTTCACAAGTGATGATTGGATTTTCAATACCCTCTACCAGGGCGAGTGATAGATTTTTTTACAGATATTCACAGATATGTCTCTAGCTAGCTGGTCATTTAGGGCTCAACTCAGAGTGAATCTAGCTAGAGACATATCTGTGAATATCTGTAAACATTTATCACACGCCCTGGTAGAGGGTAGATTTTCAAAGTGAGTAAAACGTATCCCAGCTGGACAGTTGTGACTGCATTTGTGACAGTGACGTATATGTTTCATTTTGGTGCTAGACGATGAATTATTTTTTATTTTTCCAGGAGAGTAAAACTTTGATACAAACTTCTTCACGTGGGACCTTGAAATAATCAAGCAATCTGTGCACTACATATTTTTAAGAGCATGCCCAGGACCTCAGCTGCACCTCTATTTTGGGCTTGGGTGTGTTGCGTACGTGACAGGTTAATCGTCTGCGTCACAATAAATCGTTATATATGCACACGCTTAGGCATTTACCTGTCCTGTCCTAGAATACGGCTCTTGTGACCTACGGCACTATTTACCACGCAACTAGGCATGTCGAACGTGCCATCTACTATTTACCACGCAACTAGGCAAGTCGAACGTGTCATCTACTAGCCCATCGAATTCGTCTGATCTTTGTCACGGCGACGATTTGAGCGAAAACGTAAGGTAAGGAAATGAAAGCATTAGGTCTCCTTTTTGCATATACTGGTGTATATATATATATATATATATATATATCATGGTGTCGTATTCCAAATCCAGAGGTGTAAACAAAAGTGGGCCACGTGTTTAATGTTTGTGATGGGACATTATAAGCATGGCCACAGTTACGTGGCAAGTGGCGTAAAATGTCCATTTTACAGGAAAACCAATGAACTGTATGTATGTATGCGCTGCAGGGCTGGATAAATGTTTAAGCACACTAAGCACGCACATGCTGTGTATAAGGTTCTTCGCGGTACAACATACAAGATACAGAAGGCTATTACATAACAGACGGATTGCAAAGACTGGGGATATTAAATCTTGGGTCACAGGTTGACTCAGTCTTTTTCTTAGGGGAAATAAAAGAAGAAAAATAAAATGATAGAAAAAGATAATTTTATTACTATATGTAGAGCACAGGGAATTTTATTACTATATGTAGAGCACAGGGATAGAAAACTTGGTTTTGTCTTTTTTCAGTTGTGAAATTTTATTTGTTTTAAAAGATGAAAGAAAAGTTGAAAGGGGGTAATTGCAAACCTCAAGTGAGACACGTCGGCCTCTTAAGTGGACCGCACAATTCATAAACAAATTAATCAGTCGGTCAGCCATAAAAGAGCTTTAAAATTTTACTTTCTATAAATTTGTGGTCGTAAGTATGACCTACTTATTCGCCCCTCCATCGTAAAAGTCCACCAAACTGACGTAGTCACGTGCAGGGTATAGCTGGTGCGTGCGGAGTTATTCAAATATGAGTTACCGAAAACTACTAAGGGTTATGCAGTTGTATTTAGCACTGTTCAAAAGAATGCAGAAAACACCCTTTCGTATATATATATATATATATATATATATATATATATTTATATATATATATATATATATATATTTTTTTTATTTTTTTTTATTTTTTTTTTTTTGGGGGGGGGCATGAAACGATGCCACGTATTCCTTAAGATATGCTATTTAAAACTTTATGATGGCATTTGGTCTGGTTTTATGACAGAAATTTGACTTTAAATGCATTAATGCATTTTTCATTTCCGGATAATAGCGCCCTCTATCCATCGTTTGGCTAACTGACGTCTAAGTATGTCCTCAACTGTAAAGAAAATGTAGTTATGTTTCAAAAGTGAACTAGAAAAGCACTCCGAGAGCGCAGACCTCCACCAAGGCAGCGATTTTTGATTATTGTTGATTATTGATTGATTATTGATCCGGATCACCACCAAAAACTAATCATCTCTTCCATCAAAATCGGTCCATAACTTTTTGAGTTAGGCCCTATTTTGATGACAGACAAACAGGGGTGAAAACATTACCTCCTTGGTGGAGGTAATTATAATCCAGTCACAGAATTTCTATAATATAAAGAAAACAGTACATAAAGTGTAATCTGGAGTGAAATTTTCCTATACTTCGTTTCTTTTAAAGCTTTGACTATCCATGACGTCAATCAGGACAGTCGATTGGGGCGCATGCGCATCCTAAAAGAGCTAATCACTCAAAGTTGTCTTAGGTCCGAAAGGAGCAAAAATAGTTAACCGTCCTGCACATGATGTTTGAACGGCAGCTTTGCAGGCACGTCTTATTAGCCATGGCCGGCTTCAAATCTACCATATTTTTTTAATATTCTTAAAGGAAATAGGACACACGTCTCTCAGGATATAGTCTTACTGGCGTCATAGTAACAGGGCACATCTGTTTTCCTAAGTAATAATGGGCTCCCTTCACGCCTTATAATTACAAATCGGACGGTTTAGTTGTGTCTGTTGGATCATTGTCGGTAGAAGATACCTTTCTGCGCGCGCATTCTAAGGTGTTCACCAGGCGGTATGGTAAAACCAGTAATATATAAAAGGTTTGATTCCCGGTAATGTAAGGTTTAGCTGGAGTCAACTGTTACTTACATTATAGCAAATGCAGCTTAGTAATGAAGCGTCTTGTCATGGTCAAGAGCGAAAATCCAAGTGTACGATGTAAAAAATGAAGCAATATAAAAGATCGCAGGAAAACTTACCTTTATGCTCTGGCACTCGGCAAACAGAACTGCCTCTGAAGCGAAGTTATTTATAAACTTGACTACTCAGGAAAACAGATGTGCCCTGTAAATTACAGGTAATACGTCACGTGGTCGGGGGTTAACAAAATTACTCGGAAGAGCAGGCGATAACGGTAAATTTCGATAATTCATGGCAACCGGCATCGTTTTGTTCCGCGAGATCATGCTCAGAGCTTGCTCTGCAGGTGCGCAGTTGTGGCATCGGTTGCACTTGTGAAAAATATATTTTGAAATGTTTTGAGACCTCCCGACTCGTTAGAAATAAGCCGATAGCAGCACTCCAAGGTAGAACATACGAAACCTGATCTTTCTGAAGACGGGTCAGAAACCTGTGTGCTATAAACTATCTGTGTGCGCCAGCTTGATGCCGTTTGATTTTATTTCACCGCAGTTAGCAAATCGCTCCTACTTAACTCCAGTTTGATATTGGGAAGAATAGGCATCACATCATATTTTGAGCCCAATTCCATCTGTGTTGTAATTCTGCCATTCACAATATCGGTTACTTGTACACTAAGGTCTAATAAACGGTATATTAGATCTTAGTTGAACATCACGTACCCAGCGTATATAGCTTAGACCCGAAAGATATTAAAAACTGAACCGTGATTTATTCAAACATACATAAAGTACATATACATTAATTAACGGCAACAGTATATCCCTATTTGCTTTTAAGTCGCCATGACAAAAGCCCTTATAAATAACTTTTAATTTAAATAACAAGGTTTGTATAAAAATGCATATTCTGTAAAACTTAAGGACCAGTTCGGAATGAATTTTGTCGACCTAGCTATTGCGCACCAACACCACGCGGGAACAAGGGGGCGTCTCGATAGTCCGAAGGTTCATTGGTCCGAAGGATCATTGGTCCGAAAAGTGGTAACATTTTCATCGATTTTTTAATCAAGGGTTCATTGGTCCGAAGGTTCTATAGTGAACATTCGGACCAATGAACCTTCGGACTAATGAACCTTCGGACTATCGCTACGGCCCCGGGAACAAGATTAGACTTTTCAGTCTGTTAACTGGTTGCATTCACCAAGAGATCCCGTGGAGAAGGTGTGCATAAGCTAGGTCGACAGATTTAAATAAGAAAGGCCCTTTAGCTTGTTACTTGTTCATTGCAGCTCCATTTCCGATTTAGATATGGCTACTATGGACAACCTGGATCTGATTGAAATCAAGAATCTCCGCCCGCGAGTACAGATCGGTATAAGTCCTCACGAGCTGGGCAAAAAACAGGAAGTAGTCATTAACCTGACCCTCGGCGTGGACATTCGGCGTGCCGCCGAGACAGACGACATCAACGACACGCTCAATTACAAAAATGTCACCAAAATGGTCCTCGAATACGCAGAATCAACCGATATCAATCTGGTAGAAAAACTTGCCGAAGATATCGCCAAAATTTGCATAGTTTGCTTCCGGGCACCGTGGGTACAAGTTGCCGCTGAGAAACCCCACGCCCTCAGGTTCACCGACTCTGTCGGGGTGAAAATTAGAAGGACATCGAAGGATTACCCACATCCCATTGTATTTGTGTCACTTGGATCGAACATTAATCCGCTGCAAAACCTGAAAGCGGCCGTGGAGATCCTGAAAAGACGCACCACGCTTCTGAAGACGTCGAAAGTCTTCCTTACACCGCCTCAACTGGACACGAACCAGCCGCCGTTCCATAACATGGCTCTAAAACTTATACCGTGTGGAGATCCGGACACATTTAGGGGACTTCTAAAAGAAATTGAAGAAAATCTCTTACGAGTGCGTGACCCCTTGAATAAAAATGGGCCCCGTACCATTGATTTAGATATTGCACTTTGGGGTGACGTCATTTTTGATAATGTTGACGTCACTAGTTTAGAGGGTAAGAGCGCACACCGGATTCCGGATCCCGATATTTTGAAGTTCGCCCACACGGTTGTCCCTCTTGCCGATGTATCCCCGGATTCGATTCATCCGGTTGTGAAGAAAACATTGCAAGAAATTGCTGTAGATGTTACCGGGCAGAGAAACTATTTGGATATATTTGAAATTGTAGATTGCACGTTTTAAAGACTATTCGAAGGGTGAACTGCTGGAAGATATTTTCTCGACCAAAAATGTTCGGAAACATGAAATTGTTTTCCAATAATTAAAAAAAAAACTATATAAATCTTTGGTGTTTATGAAAAAAACGAACCAATAACAGGGGCGGATCCAGTTTTATTTGAAGGGGAGGGGGGTCTGGAACGACAGACCTCGGGTGCAAACCGACCATCGCCCCCTAGACGTGGGGTTCGGGGGGTCAGACTATGACGCCGTTCTGGGCATAGACGAAGTGTAAGGGGGAGGGGACTATCTCCCTTCCTTCAACGGGCAGTATATGGCAGCCTCGCACGTCACTGATTATCTGTAGGCAGTAGCGAAAGAGAGTGGGTATCTGGCTTCATAGTTTCATGGATTTACATAACAGCTATGGATTTTTCGAAATATGGCACGAAATACATGTCGTGGACTATTTTGTGCAAGCGTGTAGGTTTTTTTTTTTTTAACAACCGGATCTGTGGAGATATGGACGCTTTAAGGACTGTTATCACGCTCATTAGGCCCCATTATTGCTAGAGGCCTTGTGATATACCCATTAACCCTGTTAAAGAGATAATTTGTGGAAATTCACTGTTGCGTGGCGGGTAAACCGTCAACTAATTGTTATCACCATATATCGCAACGTATGCCCACGCTCCCGTATTTACCTGTCCTGTCCTCGAATGCGGCCCTGTGACCAACCGCACTATTTAACACCCCATTTCCATAGATTTTTAGATCGATCTATCCCTGTGGGGAGTCTCACTAGATTACTGTCAGCTTGGCCGGCTTAAGCGTCTGTCCCGCCTACTAAAAGCTGTAAGGTGGTAATTAACTATGATGTCCGCTCGGCTGACTGCAATTTAGCCTGAACCCCCAGGGAGTTAGGTCGATCTAAAACTTAATCCTTAGATCGATCTAAATCTCTGGGAAAGCACCCTAAGACTTGCCATGTGTTTTCATCCGTAGATCGATCTAACAGGATCGGTCCATCTCCACGGGGTCCCTCGCTATAATAATCTCAGCCCGAGCAGCTTAGACGTCTGGGATGCTCACTTAAGTTGCTAAAGGAATATTAGTGACTTTCGTGAGCATCCCACTAAAGTAACGTTGCTGAAGGAAATTTAATTACTCCCTATGGGCCTCGTTCGATTCAAAGTTAGTACGATAGTCTGGGAATGGTCTCCAACACGCAACCAGACATGCCGAACATGAATAGTCATCTACTTGTAGTGCTACTTATTATCGGTGGATCCATTCCGAGCTACTACTCGTACGTCTTTGTTTCGAGTATCACAGAGCACTTGAAGCTTATTCCTGGACTACAGCAAGCAAATCGTCTCTGAGCAGCATCAGTAGATGTAAGTATTCAGAATTCCCTTGTGTGTCAACATTGTTTGGAGAGTAATTCCCACATTTTAACGACATTGTTTTGTAACTTCTTGGTTTATTTTTTTTCTCAGGAGTATTTATGAGTCGATGTGGTATATAATTGGCATATAATAAATTGTTATTTTATATGAAGGCGAAACTTTTGATTCAGGCAGTTATATTTTACCAAGATAATGAAAAAAATTATAATATTGGGTCTAACGTTGAAACGTAGATCACAGCGTTTTGGCCTTATTAAAAGGTCTTCTTCAGGTGAGCTGGTTTTAAGTTGTCACCGGTGTCGTATGGTGACGTTCAGCGCGGGTTGTCTCACCGCGTCCGGTGTCACAGGAATGGAAGTCCGGGCTCCCATATGATATAAGTACAGGTGAGGGCTAGTTGGAGTAATGGGGTTACTAAATGGCACGAGTGTCACCTGTACAAAGTAATGGGAAGCGGACTACGGTTCCTAGACTTGTAACACCTGTCCCACAGATGTGGTAGTTAGAGTATCAGGCCTCCTTGTTTGTCGGACTTGCTGAGGTTGGGCTGTTCAATCCGCTCATGATTGGCCATTTATGGATAAAAGTTAAAGACGGTCGAGACAAGACCGTACACGAGAAGCCGTGAAACGAAATAACCTCTTTTGATCAAAATTCAATTTTGTCTTATTCGATTTTGTATTAAATTTATTCATTAATACTACATGCATACTGTGCGATAAAAACTTAAAAGAGTCGATTGCAAGAGAAAGAAAACTTTAAAATAGAATCTCACTTCTTAACAACGGCGATTTGAGCAAAAAAGAAAGAAGGAAATGAGAAGTTTTATTTCACTGGTACGTTTTGCTATTGTCAGCATTAGGTCCCTTTTTTGGTTAAGTGTATTTGATGCCAAGTTATTTATATGATGCCGTCAAAGTTAAACGTTGGAAATGGGGAACTGTTCATGCCCACAGTCATGTGACAAGTGGCAAAAATATCCATTTAATAAGGAAAATCAATGACGCGTGTGTATGCTTTGCAGGGCTGGGCCCCGTAAGTCGAAAGCATTGCGCATTGCGACCGAGCGCAAGCGTCTCGATTCCATAACTCGCCCGTACTCGCCCCATATAATACACTGTAGTCTCTATGTGATATCGTTGTTCGCGATGCTTCGAGTTACGGGGCCCTGGTAATTAATGAATAAACATGTTAAGCACACTAAGCACGCACATGTTGTATAGAAGGCTCTTCGTGGTCTCTACATAATTGATGTGATATTTATGTCCGAGAGACGAAATAACGAGAGCTATACATGCCGTTTCGGTCCAGCATCTGTGAACCTTAATCACGTTTTATTCTCTACCAGAGATTTTTTTACGTCAGGTGTCACAAAATGTAATATATTATTGTAATATATTTCAAAAGACATCTTACACAATTTTGCACCATCTAAAATACCGATGGGAGAGACTAGGGCCTAGAAACACCTGAATATATAATGGTGACAATAGAAAATACGACAGTCCCACAGGCATTGGCTAACATCTTAGGCTACGCTCACAACCAAAGATCATACGCGGGCTAACAGATCTGCGGATCAAATATGTCTGACCCACTTGAAAGCTTGCTACGTTATCCCCGCAGGGAATCTTTTCAGTGTTTATTAGGGAAATAGACGGCAAGGTTTTAAGTCTGTCGCTTATTGATATGCGGAAGAGTAAGGCTGCATTCACAACAGCGGAGAACTAGCCCGAGGATCAAATATGGCCGACCCACTTGAATGCTTGTTGCGTAATCCTCACAGTGTCTGTTAGGGGATAAGACGGAAAGCTTTTAAGTGGGTCGCCATAATTGATCGGCGGCCTAGTTAGTCCGCTGTTATGAATGCGGCCTTAGACTGCATGCAGAACAAGCTGGTCCGCGGACTAACAGATCCGCGGATGAAGAAATCGCTTGGTTTTGTCTTTTTTCACTTGTGATAAATACCTTTTTATTTTCGAGGGTGAAGGAGTAGGTGAAAGGGGGTAGTTTCAAAGCTTAAGTGAGACACGTGGCCCTCTAAAGTCAACATGCCAATGCACAAACCAAATTAATCACTTGTTCAGTCACAGAGCTTAAAACTGCATTTTGCGGTTGAAGGTAACCTTTCTGCGCACGCGTTGTAATGTGTTCACCAGGCGGTATGGTAAAACCGGTAATATAAGGTTTTATGGTTTAACTATCAAATCCATTGCGGGTACAGCTTAATAAGTAATAAATGAATAAATCTTGTCACGGCCAAGAACGAAAATCCAAGCCTACGATGTGAATAATAAAGCAAAATAACAGATCGAAAAAAAACAAACCTACAGGGCCGTAGCCTCCGGGGGGGCAGGGGGGGGGGCAGCTGCCCCCCCTGGGATTTGAGGTGCAAAAAAATAATTGCAAAGGTAAAAAAGAATAATTGCAAAGTTGGTATCAATTCTGTGAGAAAATGTACTCATGGCCACTAGACAATCATTCAACAATCTGTTTACAAAGGTGTACTGATTTTAGCCAACTCAGTTCATGCCAAAAAGTCCAATATGGCGTGTTGCGTTGAAAAAATGACTGNACTGCGGGGAGTCTCACTAGATTACTGTCAGATAATCCCCCTTAAGTGTCCGTCCCCGCCTACTACAAGCTTTAAGGGGTAATTAACTTTCGTGTCCGCCCGGCTGACATCTATTTAGTGTGAACCCCCAGGGAGTTAGGTCGATCCAATGTAGGTCGATCTAATCTATGAGAATGGGGTGTAAGACTTGCCATGTGTTTTCATCCGTAGATCGATCTAACAGGATCGGTCCATCTCCACGGGGTCCCTCGCTATAATAATCTCTGCCCGAGCAGCTTAGACGTCTGAGATGCTCACTAAAGTTGCTAAAGGAATATTAGTGACTTTCGTGAGCATCCCACTAAAGTAACGTTGCTAAAGGAAATTTAATAACTCCCTATGGGCCTCGTTCGATTCAAAGTTAGTACGATAGTCTGGGAATGGTCTCCAACACGCAACCCGGCATGCCGAACATGAATAGTCATCTACTTGTAGTGCTACTTATTATCGGTGGATCCATTCCGAGCTACTACTCGTACGTCTTTGTTTCGAGTATCACAGAGCACTTGAAGCTTATTCCTGGACTACAGCAAGCAAATCGTCTCTGAGCAGCATCAGTAGAAGTAAGTATTCAGAATTCCCTTGTGTGTCGACATTGTTTGGAGAGTAATTCCCACATTTTAACGACATTGTTTTGTAACTTCTTGGCTTATTTTTTTCTCGGGAGTATTTATGAGTCGATGTGGTATATAATTTGCATATAATAAATTGTTATTTTATATCAAGGCGAAACTTTTGATTCAGGCAGTTATATTATACCAAGATAATGAAAAAAATTATAATATTGGGTTTAACGTTGAAACGGAGATCACAGCGTTTTGGCCTTATGAAAAGGTCTTCTTCAGGTGAGCTAGTTTTAAGTTGTCACCGGTGTCGTATGGTGACGTTCAGCGCGGGTTGTCTCACCGCGTCCGGTGTCACAGGAATGGAAGTCCGGGCTCCCATATGATATAAGTACAGGTGAGGGATAGTTGGCGTATTGGGGTTACTATATGGCACGAGTGTCACCTGCACAAAGTAATGGGAAGCGGACTACGGTTCCTAGACTTGTAACACCTGTCCCACAGATGTGGTAGTTAGAGTATCAGGCCTCCTTGTTTGTCGGACTTGCTGAGGTTGGGCTGTTCAATCCGCTCATGATTGGCCATTTATGGATAAAAGTTAAAGACGGTCGAGACAAGACCGTACACGAGAAGCCGTGAAACGAAATAACCTCTTTTGATCAAAATTCAGTTTTGTCTTATTCGATTTTGTATTAAATTTATTCATTAATACTACATGCATACTGTGCGATAAAAACTTAAAAGAGTCGATTGCAAGAGAAAGAAAACTTTAAAATAGAATCTCACTTCTTAACAACGGCGATTTGAGCAAAAAAAGAAAGAAGGAAATGAGAAGTTTTATTTCACTGGTACGTTTTGCTATTGTCGGCATTAGGTCCCTTTTTTGGTTAACTTAAGTGTATTTGATGCCAACTTATTTATATGATGCCATCAAAGTTAAACGTTGGAAATGGAGCACTGTGCATGCCCACAGTCATGTGACAAGCGGCAAAAATATCCATTAAATAAGGAAAACCAATGACGCGTGTGTATGCTTTGAAGGGCTGGGCCCCGTAAGTCGAAAGCATTGCGCATTGCGACCGAGCGCAAGCGTCTCGATTCCATAACTCGCCCGTACTCGCCCCATATAATACACTGTAGTCTCTATGTGATATCGTTGTTCGCGATGCTTCGAGTTACGGGGCCCTGGTAATTAATGAATAAACATGTTTAAGCACACTAAGCACGCACATGTTGTATAGAAGGCTCTTCGTGGTCTCTACATAATTGATGTGATATTTATGTCCGAGAGACTAAGTAACGAGAGCCATACATGCCGTTTCGGTCCAGCATCTGTGAACCTTAATCACGTTTTATTCTCTACCAGAGATTTTTTACGTCAGGTGTCACAAAATGTAATATATTATTGTAATATATTTCAAAAGACATCTTACACAATTTTGCACCATTTAAAATACCGATGGGAGAGACTAGGGCCTAGAAACACCTGAATATATAATGGTGACAATAGAAAATACGACAGTCCCACAGGCATTGGCTAACATCTTAGGCTACGCTCACAACCAAAGATCATACGCGGGCTAACAGATCTGCAGATCAAATATGTCTGACCCACTTGAAAGCTTGCTACGTTATCCCCGCAGGGAATCTTTTCAGTGTTTATTAGGGAAATAAACGGCAAGGTTTTAAGTCTGTCGCTTATTGATATGCGGAAGAGTTAGGCTGCATTCACAACAGCGGAGAACTAGCCCGAGGATCAAATATGGCCGACCCACTTGAATGCTTGTTGCGTAATCCTCACAGTGTCTGTTAGGGGATAAGACGGAAAGCTTTTAAGTGGGTCGCCATAATTGATCGGCGGTCTAGTTAGTCCGCTGTTATGAATGCGGCCTTAGACTGCATGCAGAACAAGCTGGTCCGCGGACTAACAGATCCGCGGATGAAGAAATCGCTTGGTTTTGTCTTTTTTTCACTTGTGATAAATACCTTTTTATTTTCGAGGGTGAAAGAGAAGGTGAAAGGGGGTAGTTTCAAAGCTTAAGTGAGACACGTGGCCCTCTGAAGTCAACATGCCAATGTATTAACCAAATTTATCACTTGTTCAGTCACAGAGCTTTAAAACTGCATTTTGCGTTTGAAGATAACCTTTCTGCGCACGCGTTGTAAGGTGTTCAAAAGGCGGTATGGTAAAACCGGTAATATAAAGTTTTATGGTTTAACCGTCACATCCATTGCGAGTGCAGTTTAATAAGTAATTAATTAATAAATCTTGTCACGGCCAAGAACGAAAATTCAAGCGTACGATGTGAATAATAAGTAGTAAATAATGCACTGTCCACGAGCCCGATATCACGATAGCATGCCGAGCGCCAGCGAGGCATGCCATCGTGTATATTGGGCGAGGGGGTAACAGTGCATTATTTGTCATACATGCAAAGGGAAATCGTGCGTGCTCCCCACCCAAACCCCCTAAATTTGAATAGAACATATCACCGCGCATGGGGTGATATCTAAGAATGGACTTTCCCCGCATTTACTGCCTAATTGCGGTCACCGTCCAATCATTTTCATTTGCGTGAATGGTTTGTGGTTGCGTGTGTATTGACAGGGACATGGGTCAGTGGTTTTCTGTGAGTAGTTGGCTGATTTCCTGCCCATCTTTTGCACGTGGCAGTCACTCCGTCTCATTCATTGTATCGGTTCCTGCAATCCTCTTGTTTTGATATCACCCCCGTGGTATGTATAGCAAAATAACAGATCGGGGAAAAAACCTACTTTACGCTCTGGCACTCGGCAAACAGAACGGCCTCTGAAGCGAAGTTATTTATAAATTTCTCCGGAAAACAGATTTGCCCTGTAAATTGCAGGTAAGACGTCACGTGGTCGGGGGTTGACAAGAAAAGGCGTCACATCATCTTTTTTAGCCTGATCCCATTTGCGTTGTAACTCTACGATTCACAATATCGGTTACTTGCACATCATGTATCCAGCGTATAGCTTAGACCCGAAAGATATTAAAAACTGAGCCGTGATTTATTCAAACATACATAAAGTACATATACATTTTTAGTATTAATTCCAGCGGCAATGATCTATCCCTGTTTGCTTTTAAGTCGCCATGACAAAAACCCATAAAAATGATTTTTTTTATTTAAATGACCAGAATTGTATAATAAACGCATATATAGTCTGTAAAACTTAAGGACCCATTTAGAATGAATTTTGTCGACGCAGCTATTGCGCACCAACACCACGCAGGCACTCTCACTAAATGCAATCAGATTAACAGACCAACACGCCCCCTGGCGTTTAGTAGAATATAGAATAGCTGGCGTTTATGTGAGTACATTGGAAACAAAAGGAGACGTTTAAGTCTGTTAACTGATTGCATTCAACAAGAGATCCCGTGGAGAAGGTGTGCAAAAGCTAGGTAGACGGATTTAAATGAGAAAGATCCTTTAGCTTGTTACTTATTCATTGCAGCTCCATTTCCGATTTAGATATGGCTACTATGGACAACCTGGATCTGATTGAAATCAAGAATCTCCGCCCGCGAATGCAGATCGGCATAAGTCCTCACGAGCTGGGCAAGAAACAGGAAGTGGTCATTAACTTGACCCTCGGCGTGGACATTAGGCGTGCCGCCGAGACAGACGACATCAAAGACACGCTCAATTACAAAAGTGTCACCAAAAAGATCCTTGAATACGCAGAATCAACCGATATCTACCTGGTTGAAAAACTTGCCGAAGATATTGCCAAAATTTGCATAGTTTGCTTCCGGGTACCGTGGGTACAAGTGGCCGTTGAGAAACCCCACGCCCTCAGGTTCTGCGACTCTGTCGGGGTGAAAATTAGAAGAACTTCAAAGGATTACCCACACCCCAGCGGCCATGGAGATCCTGAAAAAACGCACCACGCTTCTGAAGACGTCAAAAGTCTTCCTAGGCCTCACACCGCCTCAACTGGACACGAACCAGCCACCGTATCATAATATGGCTGTAAAACTGATACCGTACGGAGATCCGGACACATGTAAGAGACTTCTGAAAGAAATTGGAATAAATCCCTACGAGTGCGTGACCCCTTGAATAAAGATGTGCCCCATACCATCCATTTAGATATTGCACTTTGGGGTGACGTCGTTTTTGATACTAGTGACGCCACTAAATTAGAGGCTAATAGGACACACCGGATTCCGGATCCTGATATTTTGAAGTTCCATCAATACTTGGTAAATACATTTCCCTTAATGTTAGCACGTACGGTTATTTTTTATCTCTTCGAAATAAGTATGTTTCTGAACTTTTTTGGACGAGTGTGTATACTCGATGTCTCATTCCCATCCAGTCCATTATCAGCATAACATAGTGATGCTTTACGACGCTGAAATTGCTACGGCTGTGAATTGGAACTCGAAAACATTTTATGTAGCCATTCGAAAGTCTTCAAAAGCAAGCCTAAATGGTATTTTTTAATTAAATATAACCACATTGATCACACACACGTGCGTGCGCGCGCGCGCGCGCACACACACACACACACACACACACCTTTTAGTCAGTTCCAGTGGCTATTACATCTTTAATACCAACATTGCATGGTCACATGCACACATTGCAGCCTATCAGGAACTGTGTTTTTTTCCTAAGATAATGTTCATGCATTCGCGCCTACTAATAAACTAACCTGTGATAAACGGTGCATTTAGCCGCAAATAGACACGGTGACGATTTTTTTTTTTTGGGGGGGGGGGAGGAGGGGGGATATCTAACTATCTATCTATCTTGGACCTACACGTAACCATGGATGCTGCTTTGTAGTTACCGAAGAACCTTTATGGTGGAAAACGTTCAATACAAAAATGTATACATTATGACTTTTCCTAATTTCATCAATATTATAGGAGTAGAACAGAATATATTTTACAATAATGCCAGCACCAGTCTCAGTATGATATGATACTGTTTACTAAATTAAACAAATAAATAATATGCTATAATTGTCTTTGCTTGTATTCTTGTTTCATAAATCTATCCAAATTTAAGCCTTTTTTTTTTCAATAATAAGCAAATAATGGTCAAGTAAATTACAGAAATTCTCAGATTGAAAATACGAATTATCACCCTTGCTGATGTATGAAGCGGAGAACAAAGTGAGTTTTGTTTTCGACCTCTCCAAAATATAACAGTTCAAAAAATTCTGTCATCCACAGGGGCCCCTACAAATCTCTGGCTGAGCCAGAAATGGTCTCTCTCTCGATTTCTAGTTTTTTTTTCAACAAGTTTTTAGAGAATTTGCTGTAATCCAATAGAAAAAAAACCGACAAATGAACTGCTTACAAGTATTATAGGCCTTCAAGAGGTGCCGCAGAGCATTTTCTCAGCCTTCTGCCTTGGTTATATTATTTAGCTTTGGTTGTATTAGTTGTGTCCAATTTTGGCGAACTTTGTAGATAATTCACCAGATTGTGGTAGCCGAGATCTACATTTTCATTTTGATGTTTAAATATATTCTGAATGATGATATAACATGAAA